CAAGCCACTGGGAAGCAAAAGACATGTTAAGGTGTAGTGGAAACTGCCATTTATAATTAGAAATTGTAAGTTTACCTAAACATAAATACATAAAATAAATACATGGAACAAATGACATCATGGTTCTCAAATCAGTATTTAAGAGGGTTCTCATAGGAATCGCTTGATCTCTAGAAATCCTAACTTGAAGCTACAGCACATAAAGTACCCTCAATTTTACCTTACATGGCTAACACTTAAATGCAAACAAAATCTCTGTAGTATGGAATTTAAAAGGCTGAATTATTCTTAAAAAAACTAAAAATAGAATTACCCTACAATCCAGCAACTGCACTATAAGGTATTTACCCAACGGATACAAAGATACACATTTGAAGGGGTACATGCATTTCAATGTTTATAGAAGCATTATCAACAATAGCCAAACTGTGGAGAGAGCCCAAATGTCCACTGACTGATGAATGGATAAAGAAGATGTGGTGTGTGTATATATATATATAATATATATATATATATATTATATATATATATATGAATATTATTCAGTCATCAAAAAGAATAAAATCTTGCCATTTGCAATGGCATCAATTGAGCTAGAATGTATTATGCTAAGCGAAATAAGTCCATCAGAGAAAGACAAATACCATATAATTTTCACTCATATGTGGAATTTAAGAAACAAAGCAGATAAACATATGGGAAGTGGAGGAAAAAGAGAAGAGAAGGAAACAAACCACGAGAGAGAGGACAAACAGGGTTGAAGGAGGGAGATGGGTGGGAGGATGGGTTAAATGGGTGATGAGTACTAAGGAGGGCATGTGTGATAAGCACTTGTTATTGTATGTAAGTGATGAATCACTGAATTCTGCTCCTGAAACCAATATTACACTGTATGTTAACTAAAATTTAAATAAAAAAAAAAGACTGAATTATTCTTCTGGATGGAGATATTGAAACTGAACAGTGCTTAATAGTGGTGAGGCAGTCTTTTTTTTTTTTTTAAACACAAAGATATTTGCTGTTATAATAGGATTTGGCATGATGGTCTATTGCACTTACAGAATGCCAGCCCAAGTAATTAAATCATAATTTGGTCAATGGCTTAATATTTGCCATATATCATGAGCAAAAGATAAGTGCAGGAGAAAGATCCCTGGAAAACTTCAAATGAAACTCCAGCCAATACCAAAGAAGTACAACACTCATAAGAGAAATACACCATAGTAGTATGTATTAAAGTGCGACTAAGGCCACCTCCATACGGTCACATGGGGTGCTTGTTAAAAATGTCATCCTGCTCCCCACTCCAGATTCACTAAAGGAAAAGCTCTGGATTGAGGTCCTAAAACATGCATTTTCTATACGTAAAGGGAATCCTATGCATCCTCATTTTTGAGAATTACTGAATTAGAGCTTTGCTTGCCTGTTAGAAAAAAGATGAGAGAAATTCCTGGAGCTACAATCGGTTCTTTTGGTGAAGAAAACTCTGTTTTCTTTTTTTTATTTTTATAGTTCTTATCAACTTTTTTTTAACAGTTCTTTTCAACTATCGTCAAGTGTCTTCTCAAGGAGGTGTCTGTTAACTCATGGGTGATCTGAGTCAAGTTTCTACTCTGTAATTTCTGTCATATGGTCAGCCTTCAGTGAGCATTCCATTCTACTACCGAGGCTTAACCACTTTAGCTGGAGATGTGGCTGTATAAAGACTGGCTTCGAACGGTGGAAGAGGGTGCCATCAGCCCATTAGTCCATTCTTGTCAAGGAGCACTCCCCACACAGGCTGACCAACAAAGGCCCCCAAGACCTTAGCTGTGACTTTGGCAGGGAGCAGGTGGCAACGCCTGAACTACACCTGAGTGTGAATTTGGCTGTTACTGAAGTAATTACCGCAACCACATTGGGCATATATTAGCTTTTGTGCAAGCACGCAGAGGCATTTTAAAAAAAACGCGTGATACCGACACAGCTCAGTGGAGGAGCCTGGAAATTTAAATTTCCAACAAGCACCCTAGGTGATTCTGATGGGCCTCAAAGTTTGAAAAGCACTGACATAGATCATAGAAACTAGACGGCAGAGTTCAAAAGGGACCTGGAGATCACTTTGTTTAATTTACTCATTTTAAAGGTGAGGAAATTAAAGCCTGGAGAAATAGAGAAGGTGATTTATTCGAGGTAAATGACTAGTGAGTGGCAGAGTTGAGACTATGCACCTGTAAGCTCAACTTGGATTTCAGCACTCTTGCTGCCGCAACAGAATTTTCATGCAAAGGAAAGCCAAATAGTAGGGGAAGTAGAGGGCGTAGGAGGAGGAGGGAAGAAGGAAGGAGAAGGTCCCGCAGCCGATCCTGCATTTTTGCTCCAGGAGACAGACCTGTTTCGAATTATGAGTATAGTTGTAAGCAATCAGTTGAAACTGCTGATGACATTTTCTCTAGATGCAGAACCTGGAGCACTCTGGGGGACTGATCTGTCAGACGGCGGTAGCTGCAGTTTTCAAAACTGCACATTTAATTATAGAAATACGGCCACTGTAGCTGTTCAAACTCCGTAAGTTAAATCAAGATGCTGTCCTACAACATAACAACGTTCTGGCGCTATTCTAACTCCCTGGGCTTCACTATAACCATTCCAATCCTGTGGTGGTGTTACTTCACATTTCACACAAAGACTCCCATGATGCACGGTTGCTTACTAGCAAGTCACTGTGGGACACTGACAGCAGCATTTTGACAAAGGCCTGGAGTACATTGTCAAAATGGTTGTCCCCATACAACTTGAAGACGCCAAAGCTGACATAATTTCCACACAGGGCAGATTTGAGAGCTGAGTAGCAGATGGAGATGCCCTTGAGTTTCATTGGATAAATCTGATCTTTTGAGAGGCTCCCAAGGGACAGGATCTGATTACCTGTTTTAGGGTAAAAGCAGAAAAAGAAAGTGATGTAAGTAGATGTAATTCAAGGCAGTTATGAGGCACATTATTTAACATTTTCACTTCACTGCTAATGCTCACTTCCTCCTATCATTGTTCCAAGAATTACACCATCCGTGTAACGAAAAATACAAATATTGAAGGCAGTTTACCTGGGAAGTACAAATGGCCCAAGGAAAACCAAGGGTACTGGCAAGTTTTATGCTTTTATCTAGATGGTGATTATATGAATATATAGATACGTAAAAATTCATTAAGCTGCGCTCTTACGATTAGTTCACTTGACATTTTAATATACGTGTTATCTCTTCTTCAACAAGAATGAGAAAAATGGGAGTAAGTAACCAATTAAGTCAAGAGAAAAAGCCTAGACTGAGATATAAGTTATGCTAAATTCTGGGATGAAGTTCCAATAGGTTTACATGAATTGATCTTGAGTTACTTCACCTTTAAGAGCCTCGCAGGTTTGGTATATGAATTAAATGAAACAAGACACACAAGAAACCCTTGGCACAGTGTGTAACAAATGTAACTTCCTTTCCCCTTAGATCATTTTTCAGAAGATCTCAAGAGATGACTGTTTAAAACTGTCCATCAAAAGACAAAGAAATGTTTCTATAATCACCTTAAAAAATTTTAGTATCAGTTAGCATTTGTAACCAACAATTTGCTTCTGAAATGTGTGCTAATTAGGCATGTTTCTAGTCAATAGCCAAGAATGCTTTTAAAAAAAACTATAAAGTCCTACATGTTTCTTAGCTCTGTGCTTTCCTATTTAAGTGACTGCAGCTAAGACTGAAACTAAATTCAACTTATGAAATACAGAGGTACACTGTTGTGGTTCTGTACTGTGCCTATGTGGCCACACAAGAATGAAGTTTCCCAGAACACATTTCCCTTTATGGCTGTGGGCTAGAATTGGACAAAAGAGAAATTTGTGTGAGATTTGTAAGGTGGAAGTGAAGTAGCAGCCACGCTTTTGTGAAGGTCACTGTGACCAGAGCAAGAAAAAAAACAGTAAAAATGGAGCTGGGTTTCAGTGTGTCCATGTTCTTTCCTTCCCTGTGTCTAGAACGGCCAGTCTTGCTGACGAATGACTCCAAGCCCATCACCAACTACTCTGCAGCAGACTTTCAGGCTGGTGGCCATGCAGAGACAGCCGTTTTCCAATGACTTCTGCCCTACGCTGGTTCCCTCTGACCCCACATCCTTTCAGGGTTCCATTCTAGCAGCTGGGTGTGTCCAGATGCTGGATTTCCCTGCAAGCTCCAACTGGTCTGCCCAGGCCGTTGTTGCAGGAGGGCTGAGTAGTGATTTCTCTTCTGAACATTCAATTCCTCCCTTTGACCTAGTTCCCGATCTTTGCCCAAGATCGTACAAAGTCTAACTCATAAAATAAATTCCCTGTTCTGTCAGTGTCAGAGTGCCTGTTTTTCCCTCTTTGAATCCTGACTGATACGTATACAACCACAGCAACCACATGTGCACCAAGAGGCTAGGAAGGACCAACACTTCTGGCAGGTGAAACAGAGGCCCGCCCCATGGTGAAGGGCTGCTCCCGTTGCTCTGGCTTGCTAAAACCTTTCCATGGGCATGTCTTCTTCTGTGCATCCTTAGAAGCCCCTATGGCTTGGCTTATAATTTATACATCTAAAGGACACCTGACAACACCATCAGACTAGAATGAGACAGATCCTAGAATTTACTCCATACCAAATCCCGTACCCTCTCTCATGAGCTCATCCTCAGTAAGTTCCATAAAGATTCAACTTAATATGACAGCATTTTCTGTCATTTTACAATGGATTTTTAATGTTTATTTTTGAGAGAGAGAGAGAGAGAGAGAGAGAGACAGAATCCGAAGCAGGCTCCAGGCTCTGAGGTGTCAGCACAGAGCCCGATGCAGGGCCCGAACCCATGAACCATGAGATCATAACCTGAGCTGAAGTCGGACGCTTAACTGACTGAGCCACCCAGGCGCCCTTATGACAGCATTTTCTTAACAGCTGTTATGTGTGAGGTGCTGGGATAAAGACATGAAATAAAATCTCTGTTCTGAAGAAGTTCAGTTTGGTGGGGGAAATAGATTTATAAATCAATGATTTCACCCAATGTGACAAACACAGAGATTGGGTTAAAACGTTAGGGGAACAGAAGAAGAGACTGACTCTGCTTGGGCAGGAGGGCAGTGGGGAAAGGCTTCACAGAGCAGGCTGTTTCTCAGCGATCAAGCCCGGTCTTCCAGGAAGACTTGGAGGGAGAGGAGTGTGTGCTGGATAGATTAAGTGCACAGGCATGGAGGCCCTGGAAAGCCTGATGCTGCAGGAGAAGACAGTTCTCAACCCCTGCTTTTCTACCTTTGTCTCAAAGTCAATAGAAGCCATTGAAGATATTCCCCTGTTCTCTCCATCCCAGGAAAAGAAAAGTACTGCTTACGTGTGACATAAGGAGGTAGGATAATCTGGGGGTTATGTGTGGCCTACACATTTTGGGTTTGTCGGAAAGGCCCGGGTCAAAGGGAGAAAATCACATCATCTTTTGGGGCCTTTTTATGCCGATGTCCTTACGGGAGAAAAACTCTGATTTCAAGGACTGGGTAACCCATCATCAAGAAGGATTGCTTATTTAGAATCACAACTTGCATCTCTGTGTTGAAGATGCAGCCTGAGATACACGTCTTGTCTTCCGGCCTGTGTCAGACACATCTGCGTTAATTTGCTTTAATTAAATAAATTCATTAGTATAGCGTCATGACCTTGGAAAAGCAGAATGAGTAATACTTCTGAAATCGAGAGCTATGTCCCACTGCTCGGGTGCCTCAGCATTCCGTGGTGGCGATGAAAGACTCCGGAGGAGAAGGCTTGGCCAAGTCATTTATTCACTCCGATTCAGCTTTACTCAGTACGTGTCATTCAACAATACGTACTGAAATTGGATTGCCCCCCTTCTCAGCCCCTCCCCCAAAAAAGCTTAAAGTAAAAAAGCTTAAAATGCCACAATGTGGGGCAGGGGAATGAGGTACTGTTATATTCTTAATGTGAGGTCTGGGAGGGAGGGGTGTGGGGGCTCCTCTGGGGCTCGGGGGAAGGATGCCGGGAACTGATGGATAACCTGGCCGAAGGCAACAGTGGGGGACCAGAGGGAGGCACAGGTGCCACAGAACTGCCACCTGTAGCCCTGTACACGCTGCAGCAGGAAATCTCACTAAATAATAAGGGGAAAAAATGAGAACAGAAGACTCCCGATGCTGGTAATTCAGCTTATTAGAGGTATTTTCCTCATTATTTGCTTCTATTAATTGCTTGGGTTCTTTTTTCTTGACCTCGATTCTCTGTCCTTTTGGGAGAAATCTTTTTGTGTTTGTTATTTTGTTTTTGTTTGGGTGTTAGCTTCCAGCACTCGGAAGTACTCTTCTAGACAATTCTGAAGAGCTAGAGTCAGAGAGGGATGTACATTAAAAAATGCAAAGTCTTCTCTTTTGTTTATCTGAGATATACTTTCAGGTTTTTTTTTTTTTTTTAAACTTTTCTTCCTTCTGAGATGCCACCTCTTTCCCCAGTGACTGACTCCATGATGTCTCCTTCAAAAGAGGCTTCCTACACCCAAAGAAGAGTGATCTTCCTTCACAGGCCTCAGGTGGAGAACTATATAAAAGAGAATATTCTAAAAGAAGATAGACATATAGTGCATAAGGGACTGATGAACCGGGAGGGCTTCTGAATCATACTGATTGGGGTTGAATCCTACATCTTTCCTTACTACCTCGGTGTCTGAGCAGATTATTAACCTCTGTAAGTCGGTTTCCTCATCAATAAAATAAAGATAATAGAAGTACATAAAACGCACAAGGCTCTTATGTGAGTAAAGGAGACAGCATATGTCAAGTGCTTACCACAGTAACTGGCACAGTGCTGAGTAAACGTAAACATAACCATGCATACTCGTGGGGGTTCATTTCTTTCTCAAGTCTAATACCCTGTAAGTTCACAAGTAGGGAGTTACAACCGGGGAAAAGAGGCGGAGCTGAAGCTGGCTGGGTGAGATGTAGAATAATACACTTCCTTCTAATATGCAATTCAAAGTAAGATCAATGCTAAGTCTTGGAACATCTTCCCTCTGTTCCTTCAATAGAGAACTGGCTGCATGGGGTCATGGTGTGTTTCTCTGCCCTACAGTCTACCAGTTCTCTGTGTCCTCAGAAGACTACTTAAAAAAAAGAAGGCTGAAGGGATAAAATACTATAGTAGTATCTTGTACCAGGAAGGACTATCAGTATGAACAATGTTATTTCCTGCCTTATAAAGCAATCCATTACATTGATTTACTTTTTCTTTTTCTCTCTTAATCTCCCAAATTTTAAGGTGATATTTAGCTGACAGCTCTATAGGTTGAATGTCTTCATTCATCATCAGAACAGTTAGGGAAGACAACCACAAGCTTGCCGACATTCCTTTACTTGAGGTCACTCAACCCACTCTGTCTTTTGAGGCCCCTGGACATAAATGGTTTGGGACAGAACTGAAGCTATGAGGAATGGAAAGGAATATACTATTTCCGTTTCAGACTGAAAGAGATTAAAACAATGTGGTGCTGAGAAGGAGGCATGAAAATAAGCAAATTGTTGGGAATTAAATTAGTATAATCATTCTAGAGGGCAATCTGGTCATATTTGTTAGAAATATAAAAATGTATAAATCCACTTCTGGGAATATATTCGAACTCTAAAAGTTCATTATAATATCTACCTATCTACCAGCATCTGTAGTCACCCTGTCTACTGTAAAAGCCGACCCTCCAGTATGTTCAACGAGCTCCTATCTCCTCTTATGTGCTTAAGGACAAAGCACCAATAAATTTCTCCTTTTTCTCCTATGCAATCTTGTTTTCCTACTAGAGCATCTCACTGGAATATAAGTCATGCTGTTATAGCTTCCATTTAGAAAAAACAAAAAACCCCTTCTGTTGGTCTTACCTCCCTGCTGGATAGTACTCCCCCGTGTAATAAAACTCTTTCAAAGAACGATTTTCATTGTCTTCAATTCTCCTTTCCTTCTTTCTCTTTTTAAAAAAAATATTTATTTTGAGAGGGAGGGAAGGAGGGAGTGAGAGTGAGTGGGTGAGGGGCAGAGAGAGGGAGACAGAGAATCCCAAGCAAGCTCCATGTGAGCCCAATGCGGGGCTCGAACCCATGAACTGTGAGATCATGATGTGAACCGAAATCAAGAGGAGGCTGCTTAACTGACTGAGCCACCCAGGTGTCCTTCTTCTCATTCTCTTTCATGCCCACTGCACTGAAAACGCTCTTTTCAAGGTTCCCAATGACCTCCCTGTTGCTAAATGTAATGGTTAGCTCTTGGTCCTTTTTGTACTTGATTCACTGACAGCTTCTGACACCACTAACTACCTCTTCTTCCTTGTCTTCCAAGACACACACCCTTGATCTTCTCTTCCTTCAGTTCTTGCTCCTTCTCATTTTCCTTTGCTGGTTCCTCCTCTTCTCCTTTACCCCTAACACTGGAGTACCCCAGGTCTCAAACCTAAGTCTTCTATACGTATATTCACCAACCACCTACGGGATCTTATCTTGTTTTACAGCTTTAAATACCATCTAAGAGTCAATGACTTCCACACTTTTTCTCTAGATCAGACATAAATTCCAAACCTCAGACTCATATACCCAGCTCTAGACTCAATATTCCTACTGGGATATCTAATTAACATCTCAAACTGAACATGACCAAAATGGAACTTTCGATCCCTTTCACGTGTGTCTTGGTTAATGGTGATGTCATCCTTCCAGCTGTTCATGCTAAATCTCCTTGACTACGTTATTTCTCTCTCATACAATATTTCCAATCCATCAAGAAATCTGATTTGTTTTACCTTCAAAATATATCCAGAATCTAACTATTTCTCACCACACTCGCTATCACCTTGGTCAAAGCCAGTATCAAAGCATGTTATTCTTCTGCTCAAAACATTCTAAAGTCCCTCTATTTCACTTGAGCTGAAGTCCTGATTATTGTCTACAAGAATGACACTACATGACATTGCTCTTGTTGTAACTCTCCCTTTGATTCACTTTGCTCCACCTACTCATCTCTTTGCTATTCTTCAGACATGCCAGATACACCAGTGCCTCAGGACCTTAAAACTTGGTATTCTCTCAGCCTGGAATACTTTTCCCAGAATATTCACATGACAGACTCCCTCATTTACTGCAAGTCTGCTCAAATGTCACCTTCTCAATGAGTCTTACCTCGATCACTTTACTTACGTTACTACAACACCTTTCTCAATCCCTGGTACTTCTATTGTTCCTTCTCCTGAATTTCTTTCTTTCTTTCTTTTTTAAAAAATTCCAGTTATTCACATACTAAATAATGTCCTCTTCAGTTCTGCTCACTGATGTATCCAAAGAGTCAGTAACAGTGCCTGCTGCTCTCAATGTACATTTGTTGAATAAATGAAGCTCCCAAGACTGCAAGTCAAAGTTGCTTACTGCAACAAAGTGTATAACAATGAAAAATTATATGTGTATAAAAATTGCATTTATCAAAAGGTGAATAATTAAATAAAGTATAGTATGACCATAAAATGTAATACTTTGAAGCTATTTAAAAAGATATGGTAAGGGCGTCTGTCTGGATCATTCAAGATAACATACGACTCTTGACCTTGAGGTTATGAGTTCCAGCCCTATGTTGGGTGTAGAGATTACTTAAATAAACTTAAAAGAAAAACACTTAAAGCACACACTAAACTGATAATGATGGTTATCTTTGAATGATGACATAATCAGGATTTTCACTTTCTATTCTCTATAGCAATTCTGAAATTCTGCAGTTTGCAAACAGATCATGCAATGTTTTTAATAAATTTAAAAAAATTTTAAACGTTTATTTATTTTTGAGAGAGAGAGAGAGAGGCAGTGTGAACAGCAGAGGGGCAGAGAGGAGGGAGACACAGAATCCAAAGCAGGCTCCAGGCTCTGAGCTGTCAGCACAGAGCCTGACATGTGGCTCGAACTCACGAACCACAAGATTATGACCTGAGCGAAAGTCGGATGCTTAGCTGACTGAGGCACCCCGGTGCCCCATGCTATTTTTTATATTTACATAATTTTGCAAAAGCTACTGTCTGCTTGAAATGCCCTCTTCTAACTTCTGGGCTGTATTCCATTCCTTTAAAAAATTCTTCTTTGGGATGCCTGGTGGCTCAGTTGGTAAAGCGCCTGACTCTTGGTTTCAGCTCTGGTCATGATCTCGTGATTAGTGAGTCTGAGTCCTGCACAGGGCTTCACGTTGACAGTGAGGACCCTGCATCGGATTCTCTCTTTCTCTCTGCCCCTCCCCTGCTCATGCTCTCTCTCTTAAAATAAACAAACTTAAATTTTTTTTAAAAAAAGTTCTTCCTTGTTTGACTCCTCAGTTTGAGTTAGAAACTTCTGGGCTACCACAGCACTCTGTATGCTTCTCAAGTATAAAAGTGAGCACAATGCATCATTAGTCTTCATTTACTTGACTGAATCCCTTGAAGAACTCAAGTTCCTTAAGAATCAGAAAGATTCTTTTTTGCGTATCTTATTTCTTTTCCTATCTGTTGTAACTCACCATATCAGACACATAGTAAATGCTCGGTAAATGTCAGCTGCATGGATGAAAAAATGAACCCTAGGCACCTGGTTGAAGACCACCCTTACTTATTTAATAGCTTACTTAGTATTATTTGCTTGTTTGCAAAAGGGGGCAAGTCCAGTATGTGTGGATCTTACTGTGGAACATGTTCCTCAAGGTCTTGCTTTTGTAAGCCACCTAATTCTGGTGCTGGGATCCTCAGGGTGTTGGTCATTCCATTGCCAAGATTTTCGTGAGCTTTCCTTTAACACTACTTTGACACTCTATGTCCCCATCCAAGTTTCTAGTAAGATCTAAGGCCACATACACGGTTGCTGGATAGTCTGTTTTCCAGAACTGTGATTTCCTGGAGACACTGATTAAGACTTTAGTTATTTCAAGACCAATGCATTCATCAGCTCTTTTTTGGTAATCAAACATAAATATATGCTCACGATCCTTCATTCTCACAATGCTTCTAATAGTACATGCCAGTAATTGTCAAGCTCCTTAACGAAAAAAACCCACAATTTTTCAAAACGGTGATCCCCTTTTACAAACGAATCTAGTGCAACTCTATAGCCGGGTGGTTCTGGTCTAAGTGGCAGTAGGGTGCCTTCCTCCTCACTATCTGGAGGGCCTTTATGGTCCTTTTCAGATCTCTTGGGCTCTGCAAAACCCAGGCAGAAAACCACTGGTCCGTTTTCTAGGTCACAGTACATAACAGTGGCTTGTACATTGCTTCACAAATCCAATTTAAGCCTATGATTAAGTCACACCTTAAATGCACTGGAAGCATATACCGCTTTCAAGAGCCCTGATGTAAATTCTTACATATAGTGAATATTCATGGCTGTTCCATCTGTTTTTAAAGTTTAGGTTTTTACACACCGAACTTTCTTAAATCAGGTATCCAAGGAGGGAATAAAAGCAGTTCCATTTTGCCTAGTCTTATGAAAATGATCACGATTTCTCCCTTCTGTGCACTCTTCAACCAATAGATGTCACTAAAGATACCGGTACCCAGGGGCTAACGGAAGAAAAGATTAGACACATGGAAATTGAGCATAAAAAACGTCCAGTTCTTAAAACTGAGAAGTGGGTTTCCAAAGTAATAACATTTATTACACCGCATGCAACATTTTAACCAAAAACGTAAGAAAGAAATTTTCTTTATTAAGTTGCTCAGGCTGAATGGATCACAGCACTAAGGTTTGAAATACATGTTCTTGAAGCAATTTAAAACTCATTAGAAATAATAGGCTTGGGCTAGTAGAAAATGTGGTAGAATTTAATCCTCATCCAAATGTTACCTGGGCTGTACAAACAGGAAATTGTTCTGCGCTACTGTGCCTAACCTCATTGCTGACCCTGAGCTGTAACGGCGAGAGCAGCTGAGAGCTGAAGCAAAATTAAAAACTTACATCAAAGTATATCATGACAGAATGTAGATAAATAAAACAGCATATCAAAAGTATTATTTTTCTGCCAGTCTCACTGAGCAGCTGGGCAGAGGTGTTCCACAAAATATGCAACAAACCAATGCGTGTGGGAAAGGGTCCTCCCCGCCCTACACCACCCCAATCACTGACTACCCAAATACTGCCCAAGAGAGGTGAGCAGAGAAGAAACCCAGTGAGGAGGTGGATGGAAGGGATCATAGAATGCTCTGGCCTCTTTCTTCTAAGGGCTTCCCTTCCCTTCTGCTTGGCTTACCAAAGAAATAAACAATGCTGCTCTTCTGTGTCCTCCCAGCCACGCTTTCCCTCACCTTCCAACCTTCTGGATGGCGGACCACATGATCTCCCTCTAGGAGCATAGTAGAGGCTCCAGAGGTAAAAGCAGGGGGTAGTAAAGCATTACAGAGGGTGAAGATAGATCAAATCAGCTTGGCTGATGGGGGCCAGCATGGGAAGCAGGGAAGGGTGAAAAACATGTTTCTATTATTTTATGTGAAGTGCATGTGTCGCAGTCACTGCTGACAAAGTTGATGGACATTTTTCCACTGAGCCTTTGACTTCCCTGCAGTTTCAGGACAGAAACCACCACACGCTAAAGAACAGTGCTTCATCATACATACTGAAGGCACAATCTGCCTGTGGCGATTCCCAAGCGGCAGTAAGGAAAACGGAGAGACTATCCTTTAAAGTTATACAGACTTTGAATGAAATTCCAATTCGGCACCTTGCTAGCTATGCGATATCTGGCAAGTTTCTTTTTTTCAAATGTTTTTTTTTATTTATTTCTAGGAGATAGAGGGAGAGACAGCGTGAGGAGGGGAGGGTCAGAGAGAGAGAGGGAGTCACAGACTGAAACAGGCTCCAGGCTCCGAGCTGGCAGTCAGCACAGAGCCCGACGTGGGGCTCGAACCCACGAACTGTGAGATCATGACCTAAGCGAAAGTTGGACACTTAACTGACTAAGCCACCCAGGCGCCCCCTGGCAAGTTTCTTAATCTCTACGAGCTTCAGTTTCTTCGTAACAGTGACCACAGATGCTAACTGGTCTAAGAGCTTTCTATGCACTACTAAACTGTATCCTCATAACCACCTTAGTAAGTAGGTATTCTTTTCTCTGCTTAACAAGAAACTGAAGCACGAAGGCTAAGCAACTTAGCCAAGGCCAAATGAGTAGTGAGTGGCACATGATAATGCCTACCTTGAGGATCTGATAGGCTAATGTATGATAAATGCTCTAGTATAGGAACAGGCACATATTGCTGATTAAAAAATAAAAGCTACCTTATTATTAGTCCAAGCCAAGGTGCAGGGCCTTACTTTAATTTCTTAGTTTCTCTTTAGAGTAAGGAAGCATACTAGCCTTTCTTCTCAAGAATGCTTTGAAGGTTTTCTTTACTCTTTACTCTTTTTCTTTTTCTTTTTCTCTTTTCTTCACCTCCTTTCTTGTCTTCCTTCCCTTCCTCTCTTTACCTCTGTCTCCTTTTCTTCTTTTTTCTCCAATGTGATCCTCACTTAGTTAATGTTCTCAGCTTTTGCTACAATGCCTTTGCTTATGTCAAACAACATGACAGAGGACTAGGCAGCTTTTGAAGCCTACAGGTTTGGCATTGTTCTGAGATTCTTTTTGGTGTCACTTGCTGGACAGACATTCTGTCCTAGAGGTACAGTAACTCTGAGAGAGAAATCACTGTTGTGACCAGTCCTACTGCAATAGTCAGTAAGTCCCAAAGGAAAAATTACACATTGTGAAAGACACAGGAGGAGGAAAATACATTCTATCAACAACTAAGCAATTCTTACATATACATACATTGTTTCACAATGAGAAATATTATTTTCTTTTAAAAAGTGACGAAATAGGGGGTGCCTGGATGGCTCAGTCAGTTGAGAATATGACTTTGGCACAGGTCACGATCTCTTGGTTCATGAGTTCGAGCTCTGCATCAGGCTCTGTGCGGACAACTCGGAGCCTGGAGCCTGCTTTGGATTCTGGGTCTCTCTCCATGCCCCTCCCCTGCTCATGCTCCAGCTCTGTCTCTCTCTCAAAAATAAGTAAATATTAAAAAAAATTAAAAACAAAAGCGAGGAAATAGAAGCTAAGCACTTATTACAGGCAGAAGGAAGCAGGATGGTGTGGTCCAAGCAGGAGCTGAACAAAAAAGTAATGTGGTCAGTGAACCCCTGTCCAAAGAAAGCTTTATGTATAGTTCTATGACTACAGGAGAATGGCTCTGGATCAAGGAGACACATGTTGGTTGGATGTTTATTCCATGTCACACTGTGGGCCAAGCCCTTTACCGGGAGCAGCTCACCTAACCGTCTCTAATCCTAAGTGGACAGGCAGGCCCATAGGTAGTCACTATGCCTAATTTTGTATCTGAGAAAACTAGGCACAAAGAAACACAGTGTCTTGGCTGAGGCTCATAGAGTTGATAAGGGTTGGTACTATGATTGGCACTCAGATCTTTTAGTCTCCAAAACTAAACTATGCTATCTCTAAGATACCATTTTAGAAGATGGTCCAGACATGTATTTTTTATGCTAAGACAATGAAAGGAGTTAGATATATACTGGAAGTAAAGCAAACTGCATTGAGACTATTTGAGAAGGGGTCCAGTTTTACCTTTAGGAGGCAAAGCATTTCTACTTTGTGTGATTGTAATGTGTTTACTTTCAACAGATTAAAAAAAATGGTGACAATGTAGTTGTTGGTAGAGATGAATGCAGGAGAGTGCAAGTTTACGGACTTAAATAGGTGCTTCCTGTAGTCTTCATACACTTACAATCTTAAACCTAAAAATCAAATGCACAATTAAAACTATGGATTTTTAGCAGAGGCCTACGATGCATACAGATTCTTGTCCCAGAATGGGGTTTTGAAAGTGAAAACAATTTAAAACCATTGTTCTGCTTTTTAAAAAATCTGTTTTTACTTTTATTTTTATTTTTTTAAAATGTTTTTATTTATTTCTAGGTTAGAGAGAGAGGCAGCGTGAGCAGGGGAGGGTCAGAGAGAGAAGGGGGTGACAGACTCTGAAACAGGCTCCAGGCTCTGAGCTGGCAGTCAGCAAAGAGCCCGACGCGGGGCTCGAACCCACGAACCGCTAGATCATAACCTAAGCGAAAGTCGGACGCTCACCCGACTAAGCCACCCAGGCGCCGGTTTTTAAAAAAGTAATACGTTTTCAGTTGTTGCTCCTACAGATATGCATAAAC